ATTCATTCCATCGTATATCATCTCACTGCCATGGTTCCAATCCCCTCCATGCATCCTCAACCACCCAAAGGGTATATCCCAGAAACCAGCTCCCTACATTTCCCCCTCCTCCCCCCAGTTTTCAGCCCACAGTCCCTTTCCCTCTCTGGGTCCAAAGTCCCCAGTCGCTTCATCACTCCATTTAATCATCTCTGCCTCCATCTCAGGCATCTCTGTTTCTCTGGGTAGAGTCCCACTCTCAGTTCTTCTCCATTGATGGTCCCAGAGGCCTCCGCTCCTATCCTGGAGAATCAATCACTCCCTTCCTTATTACAAAACTTTTACCTTTGCATTTCCAACCCTCATAATCTGTCCTGATAAGCATTATTCACTACATTATCACAAGTTACCCATCTGTATCTCCTTTCATCAGCTCCGCCCAGACAGATTAGAGCCCTAGTACTTTTGACTTACCCTTATCAATGTGTATTTCCCAATGCTGAAATTTCTTTTCACATATTCTAACTTTAATGATCACAAACTGCATAAAAGTATTTTCATCCCTAAAGAGACTCAAAACCCTTTAATGTACAACAATGATTCAAAAAAGAATTGATGCATTATCCTTATTATGTATGAAAGTATATATTATTTGGTGGCTTACTTGTGACAAAACCACTCAATAATTTGCAAGAGCAAATATTAGAAAGAAATATTTTTAATTATATCATGTTAGAGATCAAAGATCTAGCTAAGAATAAAATATGGTAATTTGTTAAAATATTTTTTTTCTGATCAGTAAATTTTCTTCTATGACATCTTTTCATTTGTTCATTTAGCGTTTAAGAAACAAGTACTAAATATGGGTATTTAAAACAAAAATCCATTTTTTTTTGTAGGAGATCAACAGAATTTTACATTGATTACTGCACCAATGAAGTTCACTGACTCAATTTGTAGAAAATGTAAAAAAAAGTAAAATTCTTAGTACTCTACATCTACTAAAAATTTTGTTTGGCTCATCCTTCTAAATGGAATATGCCACTTCTGTGTTCACTATATAATATTATTATAGAATTTCAAAGGTTACATCATGGTTGTAAATGTTGCAAATGTAAAGGTAGACATTTTGTAACAAAAGGAGGAGAGTGGTTGATTTTGCAGTCCAGGAATGGAGGACCCTGGGACCATCAAGCCATCAAGGAAGAAGAGCAGAGTGCGGGACCCTATCCAGAAAAGCAGTGACACCAAGAGATGGACGCAGAGATGATGACACGGAGAGATGGGAGCAGCTGGGGACTTTGGATTCAAGGTTGTGTGAATGATTATATATTTCTGAGTGCTTTGGTGTACATCAAAAAACAAAAAAGAGGGAATGGAAGCAAATGCTGTTAAATGATGATACATGGAGGGGACTGCAATCATTGCAATGAAACGAAATACTACAGGATGAGTGTAAAGCTGATGTTCTCCCATGTACACTATCACTTAATTCACACACACAAAAAAAAGTTATATCATGGATAGCTAAAAAACAAAATCAACCAACTGCTATGGAGTTAATTCCATCTCAAAGAATCTCTAAGTGACAGAATAGAACTCCATAGGGTTCCCAAGGCTTTAAATATTTATGGAAGCAGCTGATGGGTTTGAACCACTGGCTTTTCAGGTAGCAGACCAACTATTAACCCACTGAGTAGCCAGTGCTCCTTATGAATAGCTAAGACACACACATATACGTACGTATATGTATGGTATTGTAGTTGTTAAGTACCATCCAATCAGTTCTGACTCATACAACAACCCATATATGGTTACCAATGGATCTGAACTGCAGATTCTGTGGTTAGCCAAGCAGTATGTATCCTACAGCGTCACACCAGAACTCCAGTAGATGAATAAAATAAAATTTAAAAATCCACTGCCACCAAGTTGATTCTGATCCATAACAAGCCTATAGAGGGTTTTCAAGACTGTAAATGTTTACAGGAGTAGACAGCCTCATCTTTCTCTCAAGAAGTGGTTGGTGGCTTTGAACCACCAACCTTGTAGTTGTTAAATGCCATCGAGTCGGTTCCGACCCATAGTGACTCTGTATAGGGTTTCCAAGGAGCAACTGGTGAGCTTGAACCACCGACCTTGTAGTTCAAACGGCTTTGCAGTCTGGCATATTAACCCACAGCGCCACACAGTCCAATACTTCACTATGCCACCAGGGCTCCTTCATATACATGTATTACTCACATGTTCCATATAAATGTGTGCATGAGTTAAAAAGGAGCCACCACAGATTATCAGTGTTTGGGGTCCTCACAAGCCTTACTCCAGCCCTGGAGACAGAGTGTAAATTCAACAACAGGAGGCCTTTTTGGGACTATGTGTGATGCATCAATGTAAGGCTCAGGCTACTTGAGTCAAGGAACCCATCGCTACCATAGTATTCTGAATCTCTGCAGCTAATATCTCATATGCTGAGAGTGAAGGAAGTCTCCCCTTCTCATGGGCCTCAATTGAGGAGCATCCTCCCTTCCCCATGTTCTCACCTGTCTGGGGTGGACAAGTATTTCTGCTTCTGGAATTTCTTCTCCAGGCCCATGAGCTGCAGCTCTGTGAAGATGGTGCGGCTGCGGCGGGGTTTCTTCTGCCGGGGAGTTAGCTGCTCAGTCTCTGATTCACTGCTGGCCAGAGCCTCACCGCCTGGGGCTTCCACAGGAGCAACCTCAGTGGCCGAGTGATGGGACAACACCTGGGCAATTCCTGAGGTGGCAGGGACCAGGTGGGAGATAACTGTGGGCTGCCGGGTGATGACTGAGAGGAGGGGATATGCCCGAAGTGATGCGGAGCCTGAAAGATAAACAGGAAGGCTGGGTCAGTGTGGACAGCAGGGAAGAGATATGATGAGGGACATAAACCAATGTGACTGCTGGGCATTACCAAGAAGGGGAATAAGAAACCGTTCAAGACCCTAACTCAGCTGGATGGGCAGGAAACATGCAATTTTCTCAGCCTGGTGTGTGAGAAAATACAGGGTTCCCATGGCTAAGACTTTGTTGTTATTGTTGTTAGTACCATTGAGTCGGTTCCGACCCATAGTGACTCTATATAGGGTTTCTGAGGAGCAGCTGGTGAGCTTGAACCACTGACTTTGAGGTTCAAACAAACTTTGCAGTCTAGCACATTAACCCACAGCACCACACCAGACAAGTAATTCCTCTGGTTTTAAGTGAATCTTTCCCCTTTCTCTCTCGTCTGAATTACTAAGTTCTAGTTCATGAATATGGGTCACGGGAACTCAGCAAAGGAAAACTGTTGTTCTTGTTAAGTGCCCGCAAGTTGGTTACAACGCATAACGACCCTGTATAGGGTTTCCGAGGAACAACTGGTGGGTTTGAACCACAGACTCTGTGGTTAGCTGTCCTGTTCCAGAGGAAAACAAGTACTCAGAAAAAGCTAGAAGCACATAAACAGATTTTTATATGAAAATTTCCTGAGAACCATCTATGGTCTTTATAAAAATATACACTTGTATCCATAGGTTCTTTCTGTCATTCATTGTTGGTAAGTGCTGTCAATTCCATTCAACTCATAGCAATCATGTATAGGGTTTCCAAGGAAAGGCTGATGGGTTTGACCCTCTGACCTTGCAGTTAGAAGCCCGATGCTTATCCTACAGTGCCACACCGGGGCTGTTGGGTTCCTTCCATAAGGTCTCTATACTTTAAATCACAACATTTTTTCAGAGATGGAGATGATTAAAGATTACTTAATTCCCTAATTTCAGGGATAGAGATCAGGGCTCAGGAAGGTTAAGGGACTTGCCCAAGATGGTATAATTAGGAAACAGTAGATTCAGGTGTCAAACCACAAGTTCTTGTGGATTCAGTGCTCTTGATGGATGCATCTTTTAGAAAAGGGGACAATTAGTTAATTTCAAGTGTAAACTCAGATCAACTATTCTAGCATGCCTATAGCACTGTGTTGGATCTGAACGTGGCTGCAGATCGATGCTAAAGTTGATTAGCATCATTTGTCATGACAGGTAAAGGGTATTGGTAGCATTTGTGCCAGTTATAAGCCATCCCTGACTCATAAAAAAGGCAAGAGTACTTTTCTGTTCAACATTTTGTTCTATCTTTAAAAGTTTTTTAAAGTTCAAATGAAAAAGCTCTTTCCTTCGGTTAGTCAATGATCTAAATGTAAAATGTCATGTAACAATTTTCTTTTTCGGGATTTCAGTTTTGTCATCTGTACAGTAAGAGTAGGTATTTTGAACCACCCAAACTCTAATACACTGAGACCATAATGGTACTTCTCATCCCAAGACTTACATTTAAAATCTACTGAAAACTAAGAAGATTCAGGACTGCCCCCTGGAACTCAGTCAATCCCTGAGAACTCATTACCAAGCACATGGGCCTACCAACAGTCAGGTGTGAACTAAAACTAAGTAACAGAAACCCCCAAGTACTACTTGCATTCTACCTCTTCTCAGGTCTAGTATTTGTCTTCTTATTCATTCCCATGCTTCTGTTTTGGACTCCAGTCATAGTTATTAAAACAGATAGTGTCTTTTGTTCTGTGAATATCCTTCTAGCAAGATCCAGCAGAAACCACAAAACTGTTAAGTAACAATAAATCATCAAGAGTTACTACTTCCATTATGCCTCAGCCAACTCTAACACTTAAGGTTTTTTGTTTTCTTTTCTTTTTGATAATCATAATAATAAATAAAAATCTGGGGAAGATATAACAAGGAAATTAAGATGCTTGAGTCTGGTTTTGGATCATCCTGAACACATCATGATATGAGACTTCTTGGAAAAAGTATAAGAAAGTATTTTACTCTGAGAAAAGTTTTTCCTCATTAATATCACTTTACTCCTTTAATTATGCCATTTCTTTCAAAATGGACTATCTTGCTCATTAGGCAGACTATCTTATCATCTAGATACTCAGAAGTTTATCAATCTAGAAAGTAGCTAGTTACCTACCTGCAGAGAAGGATTTGAAGTATTGTAGTTTTAGTTTCCCCTTTTGTAAGCAGTTTAACTTTTTTTGTGTGTGGGTGGGTGGGTAACACAGAAAAATATTTGAAAATGTAGCATATCTACTAGAAAATTATTGGAACTCATAGAAGGATTCAGCAAAGGTATAAGATCAACATACAAAAATCAGTCATATTCCTCTTATTAGTAAAGGGAACTATGAAAAGGAAATCAGAAAAGAATTACCATTTATAATATCTTGTTATTAAGTGCCATTGAGTCTACCACTTACTATCTCATTATCCAACAGTTTGCAACTACAACAATATTTAAAAATCTACTATTCAGCTTTTATTGGGAGATTTACAGAGCAGATCAGTTTTCGATTCAACAACTCATATACTTTTTGTTTCATGTCACTGATTGCAGTCCCCACATCACTTATCCCATTTTCTCCCCATATTTTCTATTTCCATTTCTTACTTTGTTGTTCTTCTTTAGCAGTGCTTTGTTTATCTGGAGTCTCTTTCTTTTCTATATAAAGTTGGTGACTAGTTTTTACATTTCTTTAAAGAATGATGTTGGAATCTGGATTGGTATGTCATTATATCTGTAGATCATTTTGGGTAATATTGACATTTTATAAAGTTGTCTTCTTATCCATGAGCATGGTATATTTTTCCATTTATGTAGGTCTCTTGTTTTTTGGTAATAGTGTTTTGTAGTTTTCTTTGCATGGGTCTTTTATTTCTCTGGGCAGATTTATTCCTTAGTATTTTATCTTTTGGGTGGCTATTTATTGTAAATAGTGTGGTTGGAGTCCTGGTGTGGTGCTGCAAGATAATCTACTGTACTGCAAGGTTGGTTTGAACCTCAAGGTCGGTGGTTCAAACTCATCAGGTGATCCTTGGAAACCCTACACGAGGCTACTATTAATTGTAAATGGTAATGTTTTCCTTATTTCCTTTTCAGAGTTCTCTATGTTAATGTAAAGGAATCTGACTGATTTTTGTATGTAAATCTTGTACCTTGCCACTTTGCATAATCTTTCAATTCATTCCAATGATTTTCTTGCTGAGTCTTTGAGATTTCCTATGTATAGCATCATATCCTAGAGAAAGTTTTACTTCTTCTTCGCTATCTTGAATGCCTTTAATTTCTGTTTCTTGACTAATCTCTGGGTAAGAATTCCAGCCCAATATTGAACAGGAGGGGTGATACAGAGCATTCTTGCCTGGTTCCCTTCCTCAAGGGGAATGCTTTCAGCTTCTCCCCATTGAAAATACTGTTGATTGACATAATGCTGATTTTTGTGGGATGACCTGATTGGAACCTAACTTGTTAAATGAAGAGAGGGCTTCATTTACTGGCCTCCTCACTGGTCTCTCAGCTTCTACACTTGTGTCCATAGTCAGTTCTCTATACAGTAGTCAGAGGGATCGTCAAAACTAACCAGATCAAGCCCTTTGCCATCTCACAACTTGATAATGACTTCATCATATTCTGGATAAAATCCAGGCTGTTTACCATGCTCTATATGGGACCTCACATACTCTGTGTGAACTGGCCCTGTCAGATCTCTCCAAATTGTTGTTTTATGACTTCCTTCCCTTGATCATTATTTTCCACCTACACAGGCCTTTACACCATTCTTCTACCACAAGTTCAATCCCACAGTAGCGCTTTCTTCTCCTTGGAGTTGTCTTCTCAAGGCTCTCCCCCTTCACTTGAGTTAATTGTTTCAGAAATGTCACCTTTTCACAGAGACTTTAACTAGACTACCCTATCTGAAATAGTTGCTCCAACCCCACACCTATCATCACATGCTGCTGTATTTTTCTTCATAGAATTTATCACTTCCTGGAATTATATATATTATGTGTATATTTGTTTACTGTCTACATCCTGTTCTGAAATGTCAGATCTATGAAGACGGGACTTTTTTGATTTGCTGGATTTATATATATTATCTCAGCTTCTAGAACAATATGACCAATTGTTATTGTTGTTAAGTACCATGGAGTCGGTTCCGACTCATAGCGACCCTGCGCAGGGGTTCCGAGGCTGTAAATCTTTATGGGAGCTGAAAGCCTCACCTTTCTCCCGCGGAACAGCTGGTAGTTTCGAACTGCCGACCTTGGGGCTAGCAGCCCAATTCGTAACCACTATGCTACCAGAGCCTCTTTTAATATGACCAATAAGAGATGCTCAATAAGAGATGCTCAATCAATGTTTGTGGCAGAATTGAATATGTAATTAATGTTATAAGTGAGGATTCAGACTTAATAGGTTTTATGATTCTATTTAAAGGAGCTCTGGTAGCATAGTAGTTACGAATCAGGCTGCGAACCACAAGGTCAGCAGTTCGAAACCAGCGGTTCCGAGGGAGAAATATGAGGCGGTCTGTTCCCGTAAAGATTTACAGCCTCGGAAACCCTGCGTAGGGTCGCTATGAGTCGGAACCGACTCCACGGCACATAACAACAACAATAACAAATGATTCTATTTATATAACATGGAAAAGGCAAAACTGTAGGGATGGAGAAAAGTGAAAGTGGCAATCAGAGGTGAAGGATGGGGGAAGAGCTAGCACCAGGGAATGTTCTGTGCTATTGTTTGGTTTTTTTTTTGTTTGTCGGGTGGGGAATGAGAGGACTGCTTTATATCCTGACTGTGTGGTAGTTATATGATTGTATGCATTTATCAAAACCCAAAACTGTACACTAGAATAGTGACTGTTATTGTATATAAATTACAAATAATTTTTAAGTCAATAAATATTTTAACTATTCTTCTTTTATTACTAAAGTAACACATATTTGTTCAAAAAGTCAAAGAGGTCAGGAATATTTATTCAAC